AAGGGAGAGCCCAGGGAGGTTGAGGAGTTTAGATCCACAGGAGCGAAGACATTGACGGGAGCCAAGGAGCATGGCTTCTGACTTGTCCACATTCAGCTGTAGGAAGTTTACGCTCATCCAGGCCTTGATGTCTGCCAGACAAGCTGATAGAACATCGGCGGACCTGGAGTTGGTACTGGAGGAGGCAAGGTAGATATGTGTGTCATCCGCATACATGTGGAAGTTTACCCCGTGTCTGCATCCCAGATGGAGCATATAGATAACTAAAAGAAGAGGGCCAAGGATGGAGGCCTGGGGTACCCTGCAGGTGACCTGGTGGTGGTGGGAGAAGAAACCATTTGCCCAGATGAAATGGAGGTGGTTGGTTAAGTAGGACTCGAATCATGCGAGAGCAGTCCCACTAAGGTAGATGAGGGAGGAGAGGTGGTGGAGAAGAATGGTGTGGTTGACTGTCGAATGCCGCAGAGAGATCCAGGAGGATGAGGTCACAGAAAGAGAGAATATAATTTGTGACTTTGACAAGCGTTGTCTCTGTGCTTATGGGCAGGGCGAAAACCAGACTGCAAGGGCTCGTGGAGAGGTGTGACCGAATTTGATCTGCAACAATGCATTTCAGGACTTTGGCAAGGAAGGCTAAGTTGGAAATGACACAGTAGTGTGAGAGATTAGAGGGATCTTGGGTGGGTTTTTTGAGGAGAGGTGTGATAACAAATGGGAGGAGAATGAGTTTATCTCGTTTCACCAGGTCTGTTTTTATCTAACATACAGCAACAAGGGGATATTTAACCTCATTGGCCTGCAAGACTGTTGATAAAGGGTTTTGCTTTTGGTGTGAAACACTTGATTGTTTTGTTTGGGTGCATTAACGTCTTTTTTTAAAAAAACTTCTTCTTTCAATGGCCCTCAGTGTTGGGTGGGGGGGGGAGAACTTTCTGTATCTAATATTTTTGTCTATAATAATTTCATAATTAATATAGTACTTAGAACATGTTAAAGTGCTTCAATGGGATTTTATTGTAAAGTGTAGTGACTATGCATTTTGTAAGAAAACAGCATTGTCCCACAGGCAACCATGATGTGAATGTCCAATTTTTTTCTGGGATATTGTTGGTCAGGACACTGGGAGAAATACCCTTCTCTTTTTGAATAGTGTTATGATATCTTTAATGTGCACCTGAAGAGGCGGATGGGACTTTGGTGTAATGTCCCATCTGAATGATGACTCCTCCAACAAAGCAATAGTCAATTCACTTTACAGTGAAATAGGATTGGGGCAGATGTATATTAATTTCCCCAGCTGAAAAGTATTTAGCGTGTGTTTCGGTCTCTCTCGCTCTGTCATGTGCTTACTCTCACCTAAAAGATTTTCTCTGCAATAACAGATTCTCAAATCTAATGTGAAATGAAGTCACATTTTTTTCCCCACATAATTGTGCAAAGTACTCCATTGCATTTGTATGCAGTCAAACTCACTTTGGAATTGCTTTGAATTGATTTTCATGTGTGTTTCAAGTATAGTTTGTTGGCACATTAACTGTCAAGCTCTGCTCCCCCACAACAGTAAAAGTGGTAATCCTTGGGGAATGCAAACTCAACTAATGAGTTGTACTGAGGGTGCCTGTCCAGTCCCTGAAGTAGGTGAATTGCTACAAGGACTGGATTTTTGTGTGATGCTATATCGTTAACAGGAATAGATAGTCCACTAATGAATTAAAAAGAAACTTTATAATGCTGAGGTTTTCTTTGGAGCTACGACAACAACTTGCATTTATATAATTCATGCCGGGTAGGGTCCTGGAGCACTTAACAGTGACTGAGTCCGACCTCGAGCCAGGGGGAGATCATAAGCACAATCAAAAAGGAAGGTCTTTAGGCGTGATTTAAAAGGGGAGACAGGGGGCAAGGTGGAGGTGTTAGGGGGAGAGTACCAGAGCTTCGTAGTGTAGTGACTGAAAGAACGGCCGCGACGGTGGAGGGGGCGAGGGATGACAGGAGGCCGGAGCTGGATGAGCGGAGACAGCTGGATGGTGAAGTGGGGGGTGAGCAAGTCGGAAAAGTAGAGAAGTACGAGGGCATGAAGGGATTTGAAAATGAGAGAGAGGATCTTGAAGTCGATCCGTTCGGAAATTGTGAGTCAGTGCAGCCTGGCAAGGACTGGTGTGATGGAGGTCCGGAGTTTTGTATGGGTTAGTATCCAGGCAGTGGAGTTCTGAATTAATTGTATTTTATATTTGGTGGAACTGGGGAGGCCAGCGAGGAGGACACTTAAAAAGTCCAGCCGGGACGTGATGAGTGTTTTGGCTACTGTGCGTGTGAGGCACAGGCGGGCAATGTGGCGGAGGTGAAAAAAAGCAGACCTGGTCAAGGAACGTATGTGGGGTAGAAAGGAAAGCTGTGGATTGAACCTGATGCCTAGATTGCACATGGGTTCAGTGAGTCTGAGGGAGAGCCCAGGGTAGTTGAGGAATTCGGACCCGCAGAAAAGAAAATGTCGATGGGAGCCAAGGAGCATGGCTTCCACTTGCTGACATTCAGCTGCAGGAAATTTGCATTCATCCAAGCTTTGATGTCCGTCAGACAAGCTGACAGGGCATCAGCGGAGTGGGAGACACAGCTGGAGAAGTAGATTGGGTGTCATCCAGAAGTTAACCCCATGTCTGCGGATGACATCGCCGAGAGGGAAAATGCTGAAAAGAAGGGGACCAAGGATGGAGCCTTGAGGGTACCCCACAGGTGACTGGGTGGGGGCGGGAGGAGAACCTGTTTCCCCGAAATAAAATATTGGTGGATGGTCAAGTAGGACTCAAACCATGCGAGTGCAGTCCCACTAAGATGAATGAGGGAGCAGAGGTGATGGAGGAGGATGGCGTGATCGACTGTGTCGAACACGGCAGAGAGGTCGAGGAGGCAGAGGGAGCCCTGGTCACGGAGAGAGAGGATGTCATTTGTTACTTTGACGAGCACTGTCTGTGCTGCGGGCAGGGTGAAAACCAAACTCGAGGGGTTTGTAGGGAATGGAGGGAAAGGTGTGAGTACAGTTGATTGGCAATCACGCGTTCCAAAACTTTGGCCCGGAAGGGCAGGGTTGAGATTGGTCTGATGACCGGTTTTGAGGGGGAGTGGAACAGAACCTGAGGAGAGGAACTGGCTGATAGTGGGTAGACGAGGGGGAGTTGCGTGACCAGAAGCTGGGTGGGGAGGGTTCGAGGCAGTAGGTGGTGGGCTTCATTTTGGTAATGGTGGGGGAAAGGGAGGCAAGAGAGATGCAGGCAAATGAAAGTAGTGTGTGTGCTGTGGTAGAAGGAGAGGGTGGTGAAGGAGGCATGGTTGGGCTGCTAGGCGACATGGAGGGGAGGAGGAGGAGGCAACCTCGCGGATGTTGTCAATTTTGGTGATTTTAAAAAAAAGTGCAGGATCTCTTCGCACTTGGCGTCTGAGGTGAGGATCGGGGGTTTGAGAGGGGGTATGGAGGAGGGGAGTGGGTTCTGGAGAAAAGGATTTTGGTGTTGTGTTTGGCCTCGAGGATGAGTTTAGAATAAAAAGCGGTTTGGGCTTGGGAAAGGGAGTGATAGTAATAATAATAATTCTTGCATTTGATATAGTGCTTTTCACGTCTTCTCGATGTCTCAGAGCGCTTTACAGAATAGACTGTAAAGTGAATTGACTGTATATTTGTGGGCGAAACGCGGAAGCCAATTGATGGTAGGTGTGAAGATGCTTGAGCCACAGTTGACAGTGAACCATGAGGCTAGTTTTGTGCTATCTGTGCTCGAGCGACCGGGTTTGGGATTTGAGTGAGCGGAGGTCACTGTTGTACCAGGGGGAGCAGGTAGGCTTTGAGACAAACCTGGTTTTCAGGGGAACAAGGGAATTTAGAAAAATTATAAACTTTTAGGTATGGTTAGATTTCTTGTTTTGAAATTCATATGGGCAAACTACCCATTTTTATAAGTTTGTAATTATGGTTCTATAAAAGAAAAAAGAAGTCTGTCAAATCATCTGTGGCTGGATGATTTAGGGAAGCGACAATGTGGAGAAATAGGAAAGTGCTTGCTCATCATTTGTCAGCATAATTGCATGAGATCAGCACTTTGCTGCTTTAATGCAGATCTTAACTGACAGCATGGCCCAATCCTATGCTGCACAAACTACAACTTCAACATACTGCATTTAATACCAGATTAGTGCTGTAAATATCATGTCAAATTAAATAATTTATTTTCTTCCTTCCCTTTAGATTCTAAAACATTGTATGATATAGTTGTGGAGTTTGTGAAAGTGAAATGACCTTTAAATAAAATGATATTTAGCAGCTGCTAGTTGCTTGAAATCTGCATTAATCTTAATCAGTTGTCCGTAAGATAAAACATGGACATGATAAATGTGAATAGACTTACTTGGCTTTTGGACCACATATGTGTCAGCTTAGCTTAGTTGTAGCACTTTCGTTTCTTGTGTCAGAAGGTTGTGGATTCAAATCTCATGTCGGGAGTTAAATTCACATAGATTAAGATGACACTCCAATGCAGTGTTGGGGGCTGTTGCATTGTCGGATATTCTGTCCTTCGGATGAGACGTTAAACCAAGGTATGGTCTGTCTGTTCAGGTGGACGTTAAAGATTCCATGGCACTACTCGAAAAGAGAAGGGACTTTCTCCTGGTGTCCTGGCCAACAATCCCCCAAATAAAATTGATAATTCATTTCATGGCGTTTTGTGGGACACTGCAGTGTTCAATTGTGCTGTGACTTTTGCTTATAAATACATGATCACTCCATTTCGTAAAAAGAGACTGGTGCTTTACCAATTTTTCAATGGATTAAAAACCGTGCCAGGAATGAAGTCTCGACTTTGTTGGCCATTTAATTTTGAAAGTGGGAAATTTAAATTTATTTTCTAAATTTTGGTTTAAGCTTCATGTAAATGGATCTTCAGAAATGAAGCAATGAGAGCACCTCTGCAGCATTATGATCTAATGCATTTGTATTTCTGTATTTCTAGGTATGAGACAGAATGTCTGTAGGAGAAAAGAGTGACGACACCTTGGTTTATTCCTATGAATCGTCTGTGCACAGTACCAGTATTCTACTGAGCCTCAATGATCAAAGAAAGCAAGACTTACTCTGTGATGTGACTCTGGTTGTAGAAGACAAGGCCTTCCGTGCTCATCGTTCTGTGCTTGCAGCCTGCAGCGATTACTTTCTGTCAACAGTGGACTGGAAAAAAGATTCTGACCTGGTTATTAAACTTCCTAAAGAGGTAAGGTGAAGAGCAAATGGGATTCCTGTGCAAGCGAGAGACCTGAGTTCAATTCCAGGCAGAGGGCGAAACCTTGGGCAAGTTTCCTTACTCCACACGCCTAATAATAATCATTCCAAAACCAAAAACAATAATAAAATTGGTCATTTTCAATCTACGACTGTTTGTGGGACATTGCTGTGCGCAATTGGCTGCCGCGTTCGCCCACAAATATACAGTCAATTCACTTTACAGTGTGTTCTGTGAAGCGCTTTGGGACGTCCTCCCGATGTGAAAAGCGCTATATCAAATGCAAGGATTATTATTATTATTATTATTATTAATTTGTAGGATAGACTTTGTGCATCTTTCCATCAGTCCTCATTTCTGTTATTTAGCAACACTCTTTTCATTGTAAGGACAATGATGATGAATATTTATCAACTAATTACAAAGATGTGTTTCATTCAGTTAATAGAAGATTTTTTTTCTTTAAATAATAGATCCAATTTCAAGAAATGTAGAGAAATAAGGCTAGAGGTTGTGGGGAAATCTCTGTTTTACACAGGAGTATACAAGACCAACAAAGTCAGTTGTGGTCAGCTGGTCCAAAGTTTTAAAGAAAACTCATTACATATTACTGTATCTCTGATATCCCTCAATAGATTTATTTGCCAGATATCCTTTTGATTCCCTTTTGAATTTGCTGACAACAACTTGCAATTATATAGTGCCCTTCACGCAGGGTAGCGTCTTGGGGCGCTTAGCGGTGCTAACATAATCTATTAAGCACAAGAAATCTATTGTATCGCCTTCCTGCATAGTCCATTCCACCAATTTAAAAACTCACTGTGTGAAGTAGTTGAATCTGAACTGCCTTTTCACCTTCCCTTTTCTGAGCTTGATTTCACATGCCCTTATTTTATAGTTTGTGACCACGTTAAGCATATTATTTCGGTTTAGTTTATCTACAATCTGATATCCTGAAAACTTCAATAACATCTCTCTCCCCAGCTTCTGTTGGCTCTCTTTGTAACTTAACTTTTTAATTCCAAATATCACTTTACAATAAATTTTGTGAAGTGCATTGAGAAAGCCTCCAGACGTAAAAGGTACTAGATCAAATGCAACAATTGTTTATCAGTTACGGTGCTAAACAGTCCCTTTGTAAACTGTTGAGTAAAACTATACTTAGTACTCCAGATGAACTGAACCTGTACAAATTCATTGCATTTAAAAAATTGCTTGTTCATCAAGTTCGAAACAAATTACATTTATATTACGGCCTTCCCGTGGGTTAGCTTCTCAGAGAGCTTGACAGTGGCAGAGTCTGACCCTGAGTCGGGGGATGGGGGAGGTGGCTGTAAGCATGATAAAAAAAGGTCTTTTGGTGGTATCTGAAAGTCGGGAGGGAGGAAGTTAGGAAAGCTATTGCTCAGTGTGAAGCTGAACCCTACACATCAGGGAATTCACAGATTCAAGTCACCATCTGTGCTGAGCCAGTAGTAAAGATGGTAGAATTGACTTCAGCATCCTTCATGCAAGGAAGGAAAATGTCCGGGAGTGTTCTTTTTCTTGATTGCTATCCAGTGATACCTACTGGATAATGTCAGGTGGTGACTTATTGTGAGGACTGGATTGAGCATTTTGTTCAATGGTTTCTGTTTAAAATCACACAGAAAGGATGCCAATTTGGATAAGTTACTGAGGGAGTCTAATACAGTGCCTTCAGGTGGGAGGTTGGGAGGAGGGGAGAAGAAAGCAAAACAAAAAAATGTTTTAGGTTGCAACTAGAAGCACTTCTGGAAAGTGAAGGAATTAGTGTGATAAGAGATGAATGGCACTGAGATCCAATGCAAAAGGCATAGTCTTGCGGAGCCAGTCACTTTTTTCTCTCTAAATATTCTTTTGTTTCTATCATCCCGAAGAGAACTGAGTGGTTAGGTGGTGCGAGGTGAGGAGAATCAAGTAAGGAATGTCAAATGCATCTCAATGTAGTTTTGTAATTCTTACCAATAATATGTGCCAACTCTCTAAATATGGAAGATGCTATCAGTGGATGGATGCGGAGGATGCTATTGTTTATAGAACATTGGGTAGTCCAAATTGAGCATATCTCAAGTACAGCAGTCAAGTACATTAGTGGCTGGTTGATTTGTATGCTTGTCTGTTGCAAACTGTGATTGGCGAATTGAGAGACACAGCAGTTTGGAGAAAGCAATATTGTAGTGGTTTTGCTGGGAAATGGGAGCAGATGATTGAAGCTTGCAGGTTTACTGGAAGTAGTTCTGAACGTGAGGGGTTGAGGTCAAACGGTTGTACAGCATGTTGAGGAAGTGGATTTCTGTGGGAAATAGTTGCATTTATGTTGCCTGATATGTGGTGTAACTGATAAACCATTGGTGCATATGTGTGCACATGCCCATTTCTGCTGCTGTGCAGCTAAATTACAGATTACCAGACTGTAGCGATGTCTTTGCCATTTACTATGCCACAAAAGACGCGCGCCGTAGAGTGGTAGCAGAGAACCAGCCTTTCCTCATCGAAGCAATGACCTACAGAATTAGCCATCACAGTACGAGCGACGGCAGTTCAGCCTATCGGTCAGTGGATGAGGTCAGTTACTGGGACAGACAGGATTACCCTATCTCCAGGCTCAGACACGACAAGGTAAACAAGGGCTGGTGGGACTAGTAGCAGGAAAAAGCCTGGAGGAAGCAGTCTAGAAAATGTGTCCTGAAGGCCTTTGAGGAGGTTGAGCCCATCTTGAAGTTTAAACTGAAGAACATGTTCACTAATGTGTATGAACCTCACCTGAAGATGCAGCAGGAGTCTCTGAGCAGACACCTGAAGATGTACGGAGAGCGTTACCTCTTCGATAAATAAGAGTGGGGTTCACTTTCCTTCCCTTTGATTGGTGTTCGTTGCTTTTTTTTAATGAAACCCACAGAGGCCTTTTGTGAAAGGGAAATCCTTTCTGTTCTCCCCTTGTCCTTCCTGTTCGCTGCAGTGTCCCTGGGTATATAACTGGCATCCCTCCTAGTTCTATCCTTGCGTTTGTGCATTATTACCACACGCCGTTGTTTTTCTCCCCCCCCTCCCTTTGATCCCAGCCATGGACTCTTGTTCCCTCCCCTTTCCCTCCCTCCCTCTCTCTCCCTACCCTTTCCTCTCTTTCCCTACCCTGCAGAATCCTGTAGCTCAGTGGTTAAAGCGCTCACCTGGCAAGCGAGAGACCTGGGTTCGATTCCCAGCAGGCCGAAACGTTGGGCAAGTTTCCTTACTCCACATGCCTTTGTTTTCCGAGCAGTAAGTAGGAACCCGGTTATTATCGATTGGAGGATTGCTTTTCCAGGGGTAATAATTCCTTCAAAAATCGAGGACTGTTTGTGGGACATTGCTGTGCGCAATTGGCTGCCACATTTCGCCCACAAAATATACAGTCAATTCACTATATATATACTGGGAAGCACTTTGAGATGTCTCGAAGATGTGATAAGGCGCTATATCAAATGCAAGGATTATTATTGAAAATAACTTGTCGTTACAGCAATGTTTAATTTACAAGAGGTGACAGTCATGTTAATTTTACCATCCACTCTTTCCTTTTTTTCTGCTCAATAAGCAGATTGCTTGATCGAGCATATATACTGCACAGCATTCAAAGCCTGAAACTTTGTATTTTGTAAAAAAAATGCTACATTTTCATTGCTTGAGCACTTCTCTTTTGCATCAATTAACCGACACAAGACATATTTCTGTTCTGCTATGTTGAAGCATTAAAATAACTTCAGAATAAATAGTTATCTGAGGTTTCATAACCACTAGTGTTTTTGCTAGTGTTTCGTATCCTGAGTTCCAAGCTAATTCACTAGATGATAATATTGGATATGACTTTTTTTAAAGTAATTTGAAGGGTGCTCCTACCCATATGGAGCCCTGAGATACATACTAAATGTGTGTGTCATGCTCCTGAATCACTGATTTGGCAAAATGCCAGAAACTCGGGCTATTTTTCCAAACAAATGTAATCCTATTAAATTTACCTCTACAGGCACAAAACTTCAGTGTAGTATCATTAGTGCTCAGCAATTGAAGCAATTATAATTATGTACATTTTTTCAGAGAGTTAAAGGAATATACTAAAGATGATGTTACATTTTAAATAAAAAAAATCTATATGCTCCTTCTGAACAATCTAATACTACTACTGCATGTGCCTACGGATAATCCCTGCATTTAACAGCAATTACCTGTGAAACACTTTTGAACATTTTGACATTGTAAGCACTGTATGAAAGGATGAATCTACGAATGAGCACTGTGAGTCAACCCTCACTTCTTGGTTGGGCACAAAATCGACAGAATATACAACGTTAAACAAACTTCTTGATGAAAAGCAATATGAGTTTTCATCAGATCTTCATAATTATTTTGCCCACAAAATACAGTCACTACACTCTACAGTATATTCTGTGAAGCACTTTAAGACGTCTCAACAACGTGATAATGGTGCTACATCAGATACAAGCATTATTATGTTAAACACAAATTGGTTTATTTTTGAGAGGTCAAAGTCTGTCAGAACTTTCTGAAACATTGCCTTAATACAATTGGTTTATTGCTTGGATACATTTGGCACGCTACCATGTAATTCTGTATTAAAAACTCTGGAAATTAGGGGTGATATAGTCCTAGACAATTCCATAAAAACAACTGATATTTGTCAGTGTGCTTAAGCTAATTACCATGATCTAAAGTAACTAGGTGCCAAAATCCACAGATTCACAAGTAGAGAGCTCAAGTCAACAACAAATTGCATTTATGCAGCACCTTTCATATCAGAAGAACGTCCCAAGGCACCTGAAAGAGCTGAGTATAATGTCCAAGTAGTATAACTGGGAAATGCAGTTATACTATATGCAGTAACCTTAAAATATATTTGTATGTACTTCTACTCAATCAGAAATATTCTTGCTAACAGCAATAAAAAATAAAAATATAGTAATAATAATCCTTGCATTTGGTATAGCGCTTTTCACGTCTTCTAGAAGTCTCAAAGCACTTCACAGAATATACTATAAAGTGAATTGACTGTATATTTTGTGGGAGAAACGCGGCAGCCAATTGCGCACAGCAGTATCCCACAAACAGTCATGGACTGAAGTGACCAAATTATTATTTTTTTTTGTTGAGGGATTATTATCAAGCATGTGGAGTAAGGAACCTTGCCCAAGGTTTTGCCCTGCCGGGAATTGAACCCAGGTCTCTCACTTGCAAGGCGAGTGCTCCAGCCACTGAGCTACAGGACTCCACAAAATACTAATCCTTGCATTTGTTAGTGCCTTTCACATCAGGAGGATGCATCAAAGCACTTCACAGGATTTACTATAAGAGTAGTGACTATTTTGTAGGTGAATGGTGAACATCAATGCATTGGTCACCTATTTACCACCACCACCCCATTGTAATATAGAGGAATGGATATTGAGAAATAGCTTGGCATACAGGACACGTGAATTATGGTATTCCATTGATGTTTAGAGCAGCAATACTAAAGTCTCTAATCCTAGAGCTGAATCTAAAACCATGCTGCTCACAAGTATATGGCACTCCACTGCCAAGATTCCTGGTACTTGTGCTTCAAGAACTGTCAACCTTGCAGAAATACTAGGAGTGACACTTGTGATCAGCTGCAGAGGAACAGAATGCAAACCTAGTAAACATATGGAACTGGTTTATTTTTAATGTGGATCACATTTTCCAACTAAAAGGAGTGACTGTTACAAACATAGGAGCTGTCTTGGCGATGGAGCATCTGAGTCTGTGGCATCTTGCCAGAATCTCCTAATTCATAGATTTTGTTTAATTGAAAGAAGAAAAGTATACGTATTATCCTGATAAAACTGGCTGAAAAAGTGTTCCATTCAATTTAGAACAATAGCTTTTATGTTTTATGTTCAGTATTTTCAAGTCAAAAATTTCTTTGAGTTTTACTCTGCAATTTTAGCTTATGTAAGACAGCAATTTTTTTTGTAAAATGACTTTGGAGACTGCAAATTGTTTAAGGGGAGACTGATATTGAAATCAGAGGAAGGGTTTCAATCTCGGCTTCAAGCTGCCTCTGAATGCTAACTGCTCCGGGTTGTCAGCAGCTTCAATGTGTAACATAACTTACCACTCAGACAACAGCCACATATATTACCTAATGAATATTCTGTTCCTCTTTTTTAAAAAAAGTTTTACTTTTAGACTTAGTGCACCAATAGTATTTGCTAAGACTGTTAACCGCAGGCAGTTATATGCATGTATATCTCTGTGGGGTTAGGGGGGGAAGAATAGGGTGGGGAAACTAGACACAGATTTTTCACCCTCCCTTAAACTGTTGTCTCTGCTGAGATCCGCTAATTCAGTATATCAAATCTTTGAATTTTGCATTAATGGAATAGATAGAGTTACATGCATCAATGTTTTGGGATACAATTCCACCAAAGGATTAAATGATCTGGTGAAATTCACCATAATAATAATCCTTGCATTTGATATAGCGCTTTTCACGTCGGGAGGACGTCCCAAAGCGCTTCACAGAACACACTGTAAAGTGAATTGACTGTATATTTGTGGGCGAACGCGGCAGCCAATTGCGCACAGCAATGTCCCACAAACAGTCGTAGATTGAAAATGACGAATTTATTATTGTTTTTGGTTTTTGGAGGGATTATTATTAGGCTCTGTGTGGAGTAAGGAAACTTGCCCAAGGTTTCGCCCTGACCTGCCTGGAATTGAACTCAGGTCTCTCGCTTGCAAAAGCGAGTGCTCTAACCACTGAGCTACAGGACTCCAGCATTGGTGTTCTGTCCAAATGTTTTGAACCGATACAGAAAGTAGATTGTGTGAGTGATCCCTCCTAAGCAGAGCTGGATTAAAGGATCCGGGGGCCCTAAATCATATCATGTTTGAGGGGCTCTTTGTACTATGCATGTAATGGGGGTGGCGATGGGCCAATAGTGGCACACCTTCTCGTCTCTCTCCGCTCTGCCTCTCAGCCTATCACAAGGTTGTATGAGGCACAAGCCAACATGGAGACTGACGGGAGGAGAGGTGGTAAAGGTGCCAACCAACCATATCCGGGCTCCCCCGCAAAACTTAAGACTAAAGCCATAGTTTACGTGTGGAAACCCATCACCATGCTTAAGAGTATGCAATCCAAACAACATTCCATGCATCCCACCTACACATGGAAATTCCAGAAATAAGATTGTTGGAATGGAATGTGCATTCTCTCCCTGGAGGGACGCATCCTGCTTACCCAATTCTGGAAAGTATTAGGCATAAGCCAACCCCTCCCGCCTGCCCCGGGTTTGAGACCCAGCCAGGGCGAAACATTGGGCAAATTTCCTTACTTCATATGCCTCTGTTTATGACAAGCGGTTTCTGTTGATGTCAGATTCTTGGAGGCACAACGTAATTGAAGTAGGAAAAACTGTATACTCCATGCCATTAGAGTATATGTAATTCCTGCATCTTCTGACCTCTGGTTTTCTTTTCTTTGTTGTATTACTGTTTCATTGTTTTGTTATTTATGTAATAAAATGAAAATTGTTTTTTCCAAAAAGTTGCAAGATTTAGTGTTCTGTTTTCTGTTTAGGAATGACTTCTCTGTGTTGGAATGGATTTTCCACTTCAGATAACTTGACTAAATCTCTATTCTTGTCATTAGGTTACCGTGAAAGGTTTTGCACCACTTCTTCAGTTTGCATACACTGCCAAACTTCTGTTGAACAAAGAAAATGTGTTGGATGTCTGTCGTTGTGCGGAATTTCTTGGAATCCACAATATAGAAAAAACGTGCTTTACCTTTCTCCAAGCCAAACTTCACGGGAACGGAAAAGATCACGCAGAGTTTCCGAGAAAGACATGTTGCACATCTAGCTGTCAGAAAACAAACTTAAAGATTCCCGTTGGTGACAATGAAAATTCAGAGGCTGATGATGATGTGGAAGAATTCTTGGAGTCTGAAAATCTCCAGAGTCCTTGCCCCAAGCTCCGTAAATGCATTGAAGTTGGAAACATTTGTCCAGCACTTCAAAATGAGACCTCTGATGTTAAGTATCCCTGTTTCAAGCAAAGTAGATGGGCTTCTCTCTGCCCTAAATATCGAAAGTTCCAGTTAGCCTGTGGGAAAGAACGTGTAACATCATGGGGTAGTACTTCTACATTACAAAATACTGCATCACAGCCATTCTTTTCAAAAGAGCAATTTGAACCCTGTCGGAGCCTGACGTTACTTCCAGAAACGGAGACTGATGATGTTGGACTAATTTTGAAAGATAATGAAAGCAAATTGGAGAGTGAAGTTGGAGGTATTGATCAGGGGAAGGATGATAATGAAGCAAAGAAGCAAGTGGATATATGCTGTCCATTAGGTCAAGGTGTGGAAGGGGAAAAATCGCTAAGGCCATCAACACAAAGTATCTCAGGTATTGAACTAAATTGCTCTAGGAGGGAGCTTTATGAATTGCCTTGTATGCCTTTCTCTCAGGCAGAGTTTATACCCATATCATTGCAATATGAAAACTTCCAGAAGAACAGTACAAATTGTGAAGAAACAAAAGCAGAAATTGGTGATCAGCCAAATATTTCAGAAAAAGGAGCAGGAGACTCTGAGAGAAAGTCAGTTATATTTAGCTCTTATCCTAAAAGTCAAGAGAATCTCGTATCCTTTTCAAGTGGACGGAGCAGTGTGGAAAGGGAGGTGGCAGAACATTTAGCAAAAGGATTTTGGAGTGAACTTTGTGGAGTGGAGTCCAGCTGTGAGGCTGTGCCTTTTGTTAAAGGGAAATGCCCAGCATCATTTCACATAGAGAGAATTTCAGAATGTGCACAGATTGCTACAGAGCCTTCCCAAACTCTTGCTGGAAAATCTCAAAACACCTTTCTACTACACTGTACTTCTGAATCATCGCACCTATCTGGGTCCAGTCTTAGCTCTTCCAAGTGTCCGTTTGGATATACTGCTGGAAGTTCAGTGTGCTCCAGCAGTTCAGGTTTAGAGGAGCTGGAGAGTGACCAGGGACAGCAGCAAGACAAATGTGATGACACCTGTGCCACAAATTCTGGGGATGAATTCAGGTCAGACTCAGAGGATGATAGCGAGTCATGTTCTGCCAGAGAACAGGAATGTGAGGTAAGTGGATTTTGAGTTTAGGTATGCACAGGATGATGATATAAAGGTACAAGAACAAGTACTGAAATTGGGAATATCCTAATGAAATATTGGTTCAGGAGGTAATGTTTATGGTCATCCCTTTCAAAATCCAGTAATAAAAATAGAAGATTTCTGGAACTTTAGGATATTTATTTGATGTGAATGATGCTATGTAAACAAAATTGTTCTTTTATTGAGCCTTTTAAAAATTATATTCATCTGGGTTAGAGCAGTGCTCTTTTCATCTTTTGGAATCTTGGTTCAAATCCTGCTCTGAAAAATGGGATTAAAAGTTTCCCTCCTCTTTTGGCTTCTTGGTTAGGCTTCTTGATAGAAATGAGTTTTGGCAGTTTTAGCCTACTTCCCACTGCGCAGGGCCAAGAGCACAAAATGAATGGGTAAGTAAGGTCAGCAAATCAATGGATGGAAAATCATAAGTAATCCCTTTCTGTTTAAGGTTATTCCCAGGCAGACTGGAGCAAAGTGATTATTTTTTCCACCCCACTGCGTCCTTATATTCCTTGCATTTGATATAATGCAAGGACATCAGAAGAATGTTACTAACAACAACAACAAGATTCCATTTATAAAGCGCCTTTCACGTCAGGAGGACGTCCCAAGGCGCTGCACAGTTGGGTCATGACCCGAGCAGGGGGGAAATGGTCAGGGTGAGGGGAGGGAAGGGAGGGAGCGAGGAGGGGGGAAATGGTCAGGGTGAGGGGAGGGAAGGGAGGGAGCGAGGAGGGGATAGAGAGTCGAGAGGGGAGCTGAAGGCACGGTCAAAGAGAAAGGTTTTGAGACCAGCCTTGAAGGAGGAAAGGGAGGAAGCGGCGAAGGCACTGGGGGATGGAGTTCCAGAGCCTGGGGCTGAGAGGCTGAAGGCCCGACCACCGATGGTAGGGCGGTTGGGGCGGGGGACGTGGAGCAGACCGGAGCCAGAGGAACGGAGGGTACGGGCAGGTAGGGGGATAGTAGGTTGGAGAGGTAGGAGGGAGCAAGACCGTGAATGGCCTTGTAGGTGAGGATGAGGATGATCCTAAGTACTAAGTACTTCACAGGATTTAATTCAGAGTTACTGTGTATTTTGTAAATGAATGCTGCAGCCAGTGTGTACACAGAAGTGTCCCACAAACAGCCATCAAACAAATGACCAATTTTATCTCGAGGATTGTTGGCCAAGACACCGGGAGAAACTCCCTTCACTTTTTGAATAGTGCCATGCAATCTTTAACATCTACCTGAACAACCAGATGGGATCTCGGCTTCACGTCTCGTCCACAGGACGACGCCTCCAAAAGGCCTGCACCTCCAGCAATGTGGCACTCACCCTGCACTGCATTGGAGTGTCAGCCTAGACTGTGAGTTCAAAGTCCCAATGTGGGACTTGAACACACAACCTTTTGACTCAGAGGTGTTGGTGCTAACGTCTAAGCCAAATATGTATTCTTAAGGATCATTAAAGTTTTTATCCCTAAAATAAAAACTTGGGTATTTTCCATTTTTTCAGGATTTAAAACAAAAAAAATTGAGGAGAAAATAGATTGTTACAAGAAAACATGGGTATATTTGTAAAATTTGCCTGGTTTAATTTTCTGCTCACATTAAAAGTAGTGAGAGAACTTGAGTACATTTTGCACAGCACAACTCCAAACGTCTTTTTCAGTCTCTGGTCACTGGCAACAAATGTGATTGATTCTGGTGTGAAGCAATACATTTGGACACCAAGAGCATGTATGTTATGCATGGTTATTAGCTCATCCATTGCAACGTCATGGGGTTGATAGGTCATGTGAGCGCACAATTTGTCAATTGACAGGACTGTAATGCACATTAATCCCTGAAAATGAAAATGTCAGAGAATCTTTTGGGGAGTAATTTTTTTCAGTCCTTGACTTTTGTCAAAAAAGCTTCTATGTTGAAAGTTAATTTAAAACTGACTTTAAAGGTCCCTTTGTATTCAACCACCTCTCATCTTAAATTATTTTGCTGCTTCTGATCTATTCATGTTTGGTTTCTTTTCCACCACATATAAGCTAAAGAGGAACTTTCATTTTAATTTTTCAACCTATGGGTTCAAGAAAAAAGCTTGAGTTTTAAGCAGCATTTTCTATCTGATGGATGGTCTATGCAAAGTTCTGGCTGTAAATATCGACCATCTTGGCAGCTTGTGATGATGTATGGCCTCATGTTTTTCGTCAGAGGATGATAATTCTGCCATCTTTTCAAAAGGAGGTCAAAGTACAAAGGATTCTTAGGCTTCAAGGTTGATTTAGGTTTAGAATGGTTAACATTGTGATTCATTTGTTGATTAAGCTTAAGGCTTTCCAGATTCGCTGCTTACTTCATGGCTGTTTGTGAGATCTTGCTGTATGCAAATTGTCTGCTGCTTTTGCTTGCGAAACAATCACTGCACTTGATTGGATATATGGCTATAAAAACAAAATGTCTTTCCATTGACGCATTTTTTTCCCTTCTTACCTTACACATCTTCAGGATAGATTGCCAGTTGATTGGCAGATTGCTTATCCAGGGGTCATAATCCCTTCAAATAAATAAATATTAATTTGGTCACTCAATTCAGGACTGTTTGTGGGACACTGCTGTGCACAATTGATTGCTGTCGTTCGCCCACAAATTACAGTCAATTTGCTTTACACTATATTCTGTGCAGTGCTTTGAGATGTCTTGAAGACGTGATAAGGCGCTATATCAAATGCAAGGATTATTGTTATTATTGGTTCAAGATTCAAGAAACGTCAGGAAGCAGGTTTTCAATTCATTTGTATTGTGACAATACAAATAAAAGCTGTAAATGATTTGACTGCGTTGTGGTTGCCTTCAGGTGAGTTTTGTAAAAATCAGAATAATGCAAGAAACTAACATTTATTCGGGATAGAGGCACCCAGGTCAACTAGCCTGGGGCAGATCTAGAAAAAGAGATCTTTAAGTCATGTTATTCTGCCGAGATAGAGAGTTTTCCAAGAATACATCAATTTCACATTAGAGAGCAAGATATTTAAACTTTATGGACCATCACCAATGAGGTTCTGATAGACCACTGTTCAAAACGAATGCCACAGCTTATTTTGGTATTTGCTATTCTGGTACTATATTTTGTTTTTCCTCATGTTGCTGTGTAATTACCTTGGAATGAAGGAGTTATACAGATTGGATTACTAGGTTATTGTTAGCCCAATACATACCTCCTCAACTTGCCAGTGGTTGAATCTGCCATAGTCAGTTCTTAAGATCCATTCATTCACCTCTGACACTTTGCTTAGCTTTGCCACTGTGGCTTTTTAAGCTGCACTAGTGAGAAAGGAAATGCATGTGGGGAGGATATTGCAAGGCGCTGAATAGTTTGCACCCAAGATGAGGGTTGGAAGCAAGAGACGTAGAAGGCAAAGGGGATTGGCTGAAAGCATGGTCAAAAAGAAAGGTGTTGAGATGGGCCTTGAAGGAGGCAAAGGAGAGGTAAAGCAAAGGGACTCCGGGATGGAGTTCTAGAGTGGGGGCAGAAAGGCCGAAGGCCCAACCAGAGATGGTGGGGCAAGCAGCATGGGGCACATGGAGCAGGCCAGTGCCCACCAGCCGGAGGGAGTGGGCAGGTTGTTTTTAGTATATTGCAGAGGTGGAGTGGAACAAGACTGTGGAAAGCTTTAAGAATATGGATAAAGATCTTAAACTCTATTCTCTGGGGATGGGGAGTCGGTGAAGCTGGGTGAAGATGGAAGTGATCAGCTCACGGAGCTTGGAGAGGACACAGGCTGCAAAGTTCTGAATAGCTTGCAGCTTGTGGAGGGAAGAGTTGGGAAATCCGATGAGCAGGGAGTTAGCACAGTCAAGCCTGGATGTAATGAAAGCATGGATGAGGGTCTTGGTGGCCTGAGGGGAGATGTTGTGGCAGAAGTGGGCAATGTTGCAAAGGTGGGGCAAGGCAGAACGTGCCATGGCACAGATTTGGGGTTTAATGGGCAGTTGAGAGTCGAACAAGACACCAAGGTCCCATACTGGCTCGGTGAGGTGGAGAGTGCATCCATGAATAGTGATGAGCTGTGGAGGCGCTGATGAGAGCCAAGCAGGAGAGCCTCGGGTCTTGTTGACATTCAACCGCAGAAAATTAGCTCTTATCCAAGACTTGATGTCTAACAGAGAATCCGTCATGACAGCAGTGGTCCTGAAGTTGAGGCAGAGAAATAGAGTTGGGTATCATCCACGTGGAAGCTAACCACATGCGTGCAGACAATATCACCGGGCGGGAGCATGTAAATATTGGAGGAGAGGACCAAGGACAGAGCCCTGAGGAACATTGCAAGTGATGGTACGAGGTTTGGAGGAAAAGCTATTAGTGGATACAAAGTGGAGATGAAAGGTAAGATTGAAACCAGTCAAGGGCGGAAAGTGGCGCTAAGAGGAGAGGCAGTGGAGAAGTGTTCAATATTGTCCAAGGCAGCAGAGAGATCGGGAGAGAGAAAGCCCTGGTTACAGATGGACAGATTGTCATTTGTAACTTTGACTACGACTGTCTCTGTACTATGGGCAGGACGGAAACCAGATTGGAGGGGTTCGTACAGGGAGTGGCAGGAGAGGAAAGAGCAAAGCTGAGAAGCAATGGGATGGAAAAGGAAGGTTGGAATGGGACTGTCGTTGGAGAACTGAGATGGATCAAAGGATTTTGTTTATTGAGAGTGGGGGTAATAACGGCTGTTTTTAAGGGGGTGGGAATAATCCCAGTGGACAAAGAGGTGGCAATGTTTGTTAGTAGGAGGTGGAGCTGGGAGGTAAGGAGTTGCACAGGGATGGGGTCAAGGGAGAGTGTCCGAGGAGATAAGGTTGTTACAGAAGAAGGGCGGGAATACAGATGACTAGGTTGGTGGAGAGGGAGTGGGGGTTGATTTTGTTTCCAATGGCCGGTATGAGATAGAACTGGGTTGGGTGGCAGGAAGTGGAATGGTGGAGTTAAGGGCGATTAAATATTG